CGATACTGATAGTCAAGTCCTTTCTACTTTTATCTTATCACGCCTCTTCCTCTAATCTTCTTAAGTCCTCATTTAGGACTTAATCATTCAACATAGGACGAGAGATAGTTTTCTCTCTTGGAAGAAAGGACAATCTTTTGGTTTCTTAAGATAAATCTTAAAGAGTGTAAAAATAGGTTTTATTGTAATAACTTAAAGGTAGGAAATAAACAAGAAGAACGTGTAAAGAGCTAATACTCAGGGCTCTAGTGACCCTTTATATAGTAGCTCTTCTCCTGGCATGACTCACACTTTGCGTTCTGCGAACCCTGCGACTCATAACTATGAGTCATGTGAAATCCATCAGCCGACTCCTATGAGTTGCTACGCAACATACCTAAAACCAATCAAAACATAATAACCAAGTCAGGTGCACAACTTGCGTCACCTGAGTGAAACCCATGACTAGTAAATTGAGTTATATGCGAAAGTTATAATATCGTGTGACTCACAACTATAAGTTACGAACAGGTAAACATAATAACCTATGGCGCCCTAGTGTACATCATGTAAAATCCCAACATACCTACAGCTCGAAATTCCGAGCTATGTAAAATCTGCCTTGCTTTATTACAGTTTGTGACAGCCTTTGCCAAACTAATTTCAGTCTCCTTTGCCCACTCCTGAAACCAAGTTTTAGAGGTTGGGCTAAAAGTTTCTACTCGATCTACCCACTCAGCCAACCCTTTCTGACAGTCAACATATGTGTTTGTGAATACTGATAGGTGTAGATCCCTACTATCTTCCTCCACACCAGTATCAATTATGCTTGTACTTGCTTGAGAGGTGTTATCGAGACCTACAGGTTCTTCCTATACCCCTCTTGCCTTGATGTTATCATATCGCATTTTTTTTAATGCTGCCTTGTAAGATACTGGAAATATTCCAGAATCTTTAAAGGAATTGCAAATCGTATGTTGCTGAAAGGTTTACTTCTATATAGAGTCCAAGTCTCAAAAGAAGGAGGAGATGGTATATTCGATTTCAGTGAATGGAGGGCATGATGGATAGCTTTATTATAGTAATGCTTTCATGGACGAAAAACACCAACATCCAGTGGTTGTAAAATATGGGTCAAATGAGATAGAAACTCAAAGGAGAGAATATGATTCTCATGGCACTTGATTGTAAAGTCTTCTTTATGATGCATAATATGACTATCAAGAAGAAGTATATGCCAATAGCTATCTGATCCTGTACCAACATGCTTAATAAAGTGATCCAACCAGGATAGAGCTATATTCTCATTGGTATATCCAGTGGGAGATACTGCAATCACTTCTGTACCACTTAGGTTTTCATGGATCCAATTTTCCATGATCTTTGCCCCAGAACATATAATAAGCAGAGGTGGTGGTAAGCTTCCATCAGCATAGATTGCCTTGATAATTGTAATTGACTTGTAGTTTTCTGGACTTGAGGTATATAGTTCCTTAACCTCACTGGAAACTACCACAATTTTGCCTGTTGGACATCTAATCCTGGCTCCAGATTCATCCATATTGTATATATACTTGGCCTCATCGATACTGTACTCTGAAAGTGGATTTTAATAATTCGGAAAAAAGAGTTTCAGGTTCTCTTCACTATGAGTTACCATCCAGGCATGTACAATCAGCTTGGTTTTGATTATATGTAGGCCAGTATTTTTCTTAAGCCATTGCTGAAACCAGACTTGTGATAGTGCTTTCAACTGTTCTGCCTGATGGAGGTAACAAATTGCAGCATAAATCATTGAGAGTATGGCACTCATGCCTGCCTCCCACTGCTCATAGTAGTAGCGGTAAACAGCTTGCTCTTGTGCCTCAGTCAGGATGAGATTATTGCCTCCATACTTGTTGAAAGTTTCACAAGAATTTTGTACTTGCTTGCACTCATGTTGTTGGCAGGATAGAACGGATGAAGCGCTCACATTAAAGAGTTGCCCAGCTCGACTTGCAGTCTCATTTGGCTCTTTATTCAGCCACTTAAGTACTTGGTTTAATCATTCTTTTATATGTGACATATCTGCCATGGATGCCATTAGTGAGCATAATTTGATATAGTTCAAATTTTGGGAACTCGAATGAAATTGAGTTGTATGGTGGAGAATGAAAAGTTCAAGTTGATCATTAATAACCGATATTATGTACATGGAGCTAAAAAAAACCAATAAACTAAAAAAAAAAATTTGCCAAGTTTGTTGTATCCCACTTGCTTTTGCATCCCACTTGGTTTTCCCAACTATGAGCGAAGCAAAATAGGAGGGGAACTGGCTATTAATCTTTTCTTATCCTCAAGATGGTTTAGCAGCTCTAAGAAGCTTGCTTTATCACCTGTATGGGTCTGTATTCACCAGTTAGTTATTGTTACTGTAATCCTAATAGCAATCAGAAATATCTTTGCTCAACTACAAATTCCTTTCATTGCTTCTACAGAAACTATTCTTTCAACTACCTCCTTGATAGCCTCATATCTCATATCAGCTCCTTCCCTCATCCCGACAATAGCTCCTCTTATTTGTATAGGAAAACTCTTCTCTTGAGGCATCATGGAATAGTTGTAGTATAATGTGAATCTTTGTTGTTCCAGCATGTTACCTCTGGTTGTTGCTGTCATCACCAACCACTTTTACCTTGAAAGTGCCAAGCCGTCAGGTCACAGAGCTATTCTTGGCAAAGACACGTAAGTAACGTTCCCGACCGTGAAGGCCACCACCTAGAGATTAGCCACCCCACAACAACCTCACAGATAGTACTTTCAATCCAATTCCTCAACGACAACCCAATTTCCCAAAACGGCAGAGATGTCCCCAATTCAAATATGGGAAGAGGCTCTCTCAGAAGCATTTTCTTACTTGAAGGACCACCTCGAAGCAAGTTACAGTTCAGTTGCACGCCGATTCTCACTAAATAAGACTACCCTGATAAACCGCTACGAGAACCGGACAAGAACTGTACGCGATGCCCACCATAACCAGCAAAAGTTCACTCCGGCAGAGGAGGATCAGATAGTGAGATGGGTGATAGAATTGGACGACATGGGAATACCGCCAAGGGGGCATTTGGTGAGGAAATTGATGTTGGGGATGTTGCAGGATCGGGGAGATCTTGCAAATAATGGGAGTCAGCAACTAGGAAAGAGATTTATTGATCGCTTTCAGAAGAGACATGCAGCTCTTGGTAGTCGGTTTTCTCAAGCTGTTAATCGAGAACGGGCACTTGCGGGTGATTTTACAGTATTAAATCACTTTTTTAATCGCCTAATCGAGATTCAAAGTGGGTACCATATTCTCCCAGAGAATATCTGGAATGTCGATGAGAAGGGTTTCCTTCTAGGTGTATCGAGTTGGGAAAAGGTTCTTTGTCACAGTACAAGAAAGAATCTCAGGCTGATTCAAGAGGGAAGTCAAGAATGGATAACCTTAGTGGAAGCTATTGGAGCAGGAGGAGAGACGATAGCACTCTATATTGTCTATAAGGGTGAAGCTCAATATATGGGATGGCATGATTATGAGGAACAGGAGGAGGCCACATTCACTCACTCGCCAACTGGGTGGTCCAATAACTATACGGGTTTCAAATGGCTTTCTGAGCATTTTCATCCTTACACTCAACTAGCCGATCACGATGCATATCGACTATTACTGATTGATGGTCATGGTTCTCACCTGAGGTATGAATTTATCTAATTCGCTCTTCAGCATGATATTCGGCTTTTATGCTTTCCATCTCATGCAACACACCTTCTCCAGCCCCTCGATGTGGGTATTTTCTCTCCCCTCCAGCGCTACTATGGTCAGGAAGTGGACATCTGGTCAAGAAACCATGGTCCTCTTGCGCAGATACACAAGGAAGACTTTTTTCCTATAGTAATGCGGGCACGTACGAGGGCTCTAACTAAGAATAACATTCTGAGTGCCTTCTGCGCGACCAGAATCTGGCCAATTACTCGATGTCGTGTACTTGACGACCCTACCCGTTAAAATCCTGATCCAGCATCCTACCGACATACCTGCCACCTACCTCCCCCTACCCAGCAGCACGAACATATTGCTGAGATGGAACATCTTGCCCTGCAGTCCTCTGAATCTACTGTAACACATACCTTTATCCGTCAACTTGCTTCTGCTGCTTATATCAGTGCTGCAGAAGCGCGAGTATCAGCTGAACTCCTCCGCCAAGAAAAGGAAAAGCAGCCTGCAAAGTAATTGGGATCAGGGAGCTTCACCGGCTACGGAAGAAAAGACTACTTGATGAGGCAAAGGCTCATGACAAGAGGAGGAAGCAACTTGAAACTAAGCTGAGAAACACATCTGCTAAACAGCAGGTAGTATTAGTTTAAGAATTGAAAAGCTTGGATAGTGAAGTTACGGGAGTGAGGGACAGTGTCATTGCTGAGGTCGATACGATCAATGGTACTTTAGACATGGAACGAGACCCCATTGAGGACACTCTCTACCGACCACCCTTATCTGAAATCTCGTTTAACCAAGAGGGTGATCCAGGACCTGCGACTGCTGCTTTCCGGAACCGATGTCTGGACTAGTTTTTTTCTTTTTTTTTTTCTTGCTATATCCTGATTTGTTACTCAGTCAGTTTAGTATTTTGTCTTTTTGTACAAGCAGTTTTCTTCTCTGACTTTTCATTTTTCTGCTCAAATAAACTCTGAGAATCAGTAAACCCTATCTGTCATAATATTTATCTGGAATTGAGTCCAATGTCATTGGCTTTCATGAGGATATCATTCCATAGGTCATTGTTGTCAAGTGGCTAATCTCTAGGTGGTGGCCAAGAACACAGTCGGGAACGTTATGTACTTATTAGGCTTTTTAATAAAGTTACTTACCTAACTTAAAAAAAAAATATTATAAATACCTGAAATAAAAATATTTGATCTGAACTCATTTATGTTCTCTTAATAACTTGTATTTCTTATGAGTCAGGCTACTAAAAGAGTTGTAGCAAACCTGTCAGAAACATTAAAGCAAATAAAATAATTATTCTGAAAATTACTAGTATTACTACAATTGCATTTATAGATTTAGGATTCTAGCTTGATAATGAAAAAGTACTAATAATTGCAGAATTTCTTTTTACTTCTAGATAGGAAAACCACATGACTATTAAAGCAAATATTAATAAGCTATGAACTACAGTTTAAAAGAATATAAGTAAATTGCAAAGCGGCTTACTTCTACTCCCTTACTAATGAAACTATACTTTCACATTATATATCTGATATACAAATTCTTAGTTGTACTGTACTTGAAGTTCAGGTCACCACCGTAATACAATTTAGATCACCTTTTCCGAAAAACTACAAAAAAAATGAAAGAAAAGTTGAATACATAAGCAACAGAGGAGTCAACCCTGGCACAGAATATTCAAGAAAACCTACCATTTCACTAAGGGTAGTCAATAGGAAATGAGTGAAAGGAGAATAATACTATCAATCAACCATCAATATAACCTATATGATAAGCAGAATTTCTATGCCTGATCTTTCCGCCTTCCTTCTTGCTCAGCATAAGACTCTACTCTTGAGACCCATCTTCCCCCTCATCTATAGCCTCATCCTCAGGCTCTTCGCTCTCATCAAAATCGGTTTCCCAGGGGCTGTCTGTGTCGGATCCATCCTCCTCCGGTGACTCCGTTGACGATTCGAACTGGAATGATCGAAAGGGGAGAGGGTTGTATGTCTGATGGCCGGGTGCCCCAGGTGGGATCTGAGATACAACGTTTTCCAGGCTTTGCAGATTGTTATCAGTTAGTTTTCAATTGTAGTAGTCACCATTCCTTCTCATTCACCATTGGATGAATTTTTACAGTAGAAATAGAAAGAGGGGAAAAGGAGATACATACAGGGCACCTTCTTGTTCGTTACTTTGACGCATTCCATTCTCCCACCATAGCTCCCTGAGGCGTCCGAGACGATGGCGCTCCACAAGTTCATCGCATTGGTGTCCCTCCCAGATACTATCCCTTGTAAGACCATCTTCTGTTAACCCATTGTTTCCACCTAGATATAGTAGCATTCTCGGGTTAGTTATAGGGCGATTTTCTTTTTGATATGCATGAACTCACCAGGAGCTATAGCATCTCGTGTAAAGAGTGTGAGTCTTCTAAAACTGCAGTTTTCCCACATTTGGATTGTCCAAGTGATGGGCCCACATTCCAAGCGGACGTGATATCCCTCAAACTCCTCCTTAAAGTCTAGCTGCGCCATAGTTATTTTATGGACACTGGCAGGACAGACCACTTCAATCATCTCGTTGAGACAATCTAAAGCTTTTTTGCGGGTGACAGAGCGGGTTGTGTGTATTTTCTTAGGGGACATTTTAGAGAGTGAGGCAGTATGGCGGTGGTAGAGGTGCTGTACGGATCGGGGGGGTAAAGGAGGTTGGGTGGGTGGAGAGGAGAGAGAAACAAATAAAGCACGACAGAAACACAGTGGGAAGTTTCCGTAAATACACCAAACCATGAGGAATTAGGGTCTACTAGACATTAACTTTTGAAGAAAAGGTGCTGTCATATTATTACCATACGAAACCCTATACCCAGCAGGGGGAACCGGCCTCGTATAACTTGCCCCCCCACCCCATATTTCCCAAGAACCCAAACTCTGGACTATCCGGATATAATATAAATAAGAAAATAAGAAAATTAAAGGCTTATAGGAAAATAACACACTCTAAACCGTCACTGAGTCGGTGAAGAATAAGTTTGGAGTATTCGATAAACCTGGTCTCTCACGATGCGTCCCAACCACCAGAAGCCTGACCATAAAAACAAATTATCCCTCTCTACAGCCTTCACTACCGACTCACAGCCCATTCTATCGTAGACAGGCTATAGAATCTTGACCTTATGTGATCACCATTCCAAGGTGACGGCAAACGCACAACCCCCCACCCTCTGTTCCCGTGGAGGGCCCATTAACAGCTGGTCTCGGCCGCGGCCGCTAGCCCGGGAAACAGCCAATCTTCCACCCTTTAGCCATAGAAAGTGAGTTTACGATCCTGCACTTCCATAAAATGCGCCCTACCCTGTGGGTGAGCGAGAACAATCCCTTCTATCTCCAGCAGGGAAGACCCTTACTTCTCCTACGACACAATCACTATCATCAACCATTTGCATACTCACAACCTCTCACTCGAACCCCCTGGTTAGAACAAGTTTGCATAGCTCAACATGCGATACAATACTACAGTACGGTAGCCTACCTTAAACATATCAGACACTGTTATCCAGGCCAGGAAAACGCATTAGATCTCAGTGGTGATGCAAGATGGGGGGTTTACACATGGCATACGGTGGAAGGAAATGGGGGGCCAAGTTGGTGCTGTCGGCCCTCTTCATTTCGTATAAGAATACCGTGGATCTAGCTTAGCTCTTCCTCAGCAGGGACCTCCTACACACTATCCTCCTCATATACTAACAAAGCCCCATCTTGGAGTCTTTCCTCTAACCAACTCCTACTCTCTTCCGGCTGGAGGCCCAAAATCCACTGATTATAAGGAAACTTAATTCATCAGCACTTTCTACAACACGAGCCTCCATGGGAAGTGTCACCATTTCCCGGCCCAAGATTTTGCAGTGTGATGCACTGCTATCTGGCATGGCGCCTGGAGGGAAATTACATATAAGCATGATCTTCATGAAACCTTGCCCATAGTGCAAGCCAATCGCCGCCATGCAGTGCCCTAGCTAAATTTAACAATCAGGTTTTGCGGGGCTCCCCGCGAGCGTCAGCCGCTTGCACCCCATATCTACCCATCTCTAAATAACTCTCAGCTCCCTACTTTATAGATGAGGAAAGGGAATAAAGGAATTGTAGAAACACCGGGTGCATAGAGAGAATTCGTAACCAGGAAACAATAAAGAGAGAGCATGATAGAAATCCCAGGCCATACTGGCTTGTCTCACTGGGGTATAAATAGCTCCCCGCCAAACGCCACACTCTAGATTATAAGTATAAACTAGCAAACCCTGATGACTCCACAAAAAAACTGGATGGGGGTTTGGGTGGATATCTGGTAAATATGTGCATTTCCATCGAATACGATCTCCTTCAACAGAAGAAATATTCAAGTCGAGTTTCGGTGACAGATTCTAGGGATCGTATTGGCACTACCACCTCTGCACGGATCACCCTCAGCGAGCCCACCAGAGCGGTGTTTGACTCAATTTGTCCGGACTTCCGGGGCTAACGTCGTCTTACCACTCCCTCATGGCCCATCACAAGAAACCTGTAAGAGTGGTGATTCACCGTACTGTACTTATTCGCTTGGTCGGGGTTGACGCCCCGTCCGATTAATGTAGTGTTTTCACCTCCCTCCGCGCCCATTGAAAGCAGCAGAAAAGAGCGATGCTCAGCCAGCGTTATCAGGTTTGCCTGGGCGTACACCGCCCAGCACGAGTAGCACTCCCACCACTCCCTGAGAAGCGCGCCAGAGTGGGGTTCGGCCGCGGTTTATCTGGTTAGTCGGGTAAGGCGGATCAAATATTGGGCAGATGCAAAAAAAAAAAAAAGTTTCCGCAGGTATGATAGCAACAGGCACTACGTCTACTTCATATTGTCGTTTTATAGATTTTCAAGTCCAGGCGAAAGTACAGCCTTTCTTCATACGCTCAGATGATTGGCAAAAATTTTGACTCATCACTTATCATTAACCATATATCTAATATTCACAAAAAAAAAAATTTAATAATAATCTTAGATCATTCCTAATCGCAAGATAACTTATCCACTAATAAATCCTCCAGGATATCATCTACGTAGGTACATATACCAGGACTAATCATTAGTGAGTTCAATTTTTCCGAGAATGTAAAATCCACTAATATGTCTGTTCCGGCCCTCAACACGATGGCGGGAAGTCTAGCACGACCAACACCACATGGGATACTATTCTGGGCTGTAAACTCGAACACGACCCCACACCAATCACACAAAACTCAAGTGGTATGACATTAGAATTTAAATTTTAAATCTACTTGGTATGATAAACCACCGCTATATTTCACGCTCCACTCCTACAACCCCCCCGCAGTAAACCACAGTTACAAACTTGGATAAGTGACAAGAGTTCAATCACAAATCCTATCCCAGACTCGGAATCCAAAGCTCCCCCGAGTGATATTTCGTGAATCAGTTCTCTCTACTGATTCACCCTACTATCACTTTTAAACACACATCAACCTGAACACCAGTGCTTTATTCTCCCTCAGCAGGGACTCACCTCCCATCCAGCCGGATCCAGAGTTCCTGAAACTAGTCCAAATTACCCCCACCAAACCCAAAAAAGCTCCATCGTTGATACGCAGAGCGCTCAACCTCTCGAATGGCAGAGCAGCAACCGGTGAATCCCCATACACAAGCTCTGCGGGATGGCTAGTCTAGAAGGAAAAACTGATATACTAGTCCTACGGTGTGAATGCGTGAAGGGGGGGGGGGTAACGCCGATGCTCTTCTAGAACTCGAGAAAACCTCTGCGGGCAGTTACCAAGAATGAACTTATTTCTCATTGGGCAAAGACCACCAACCAACTGACCGACCGATTACCTAGGGAGCGACTCTAGGGATCCCCTGACCGCCCCATTTTTTTATGGAAGGCCATCTCTTGAGCTCTGTTTAGCCTTTCCCTCGACCACGTTCTAATTAAACTATATCCTTATAGGTACTTTCCTAATTAGGAAGTTTTCGAGACGGCCCAGGCTCACATGTCACTGTCCCGCCCTGGCATGGAATCTCGGTGCCAATAACAGCCACGGTACGATACTGATACATGCATTTGCCAATGCCATCGCAAACGCTTCTCAAACGGAGTGTATGGCTTACTGACTTTTGTGGCGGCGGATTATTTCCCGAATAGCGCTACTACTCCTGTTCGGTCCTCGTCCAGTGCTTCCACCCCCAGACCAAGAGACGTCTCTAACCTCGCACCACCTGTGAGCGAAGTATCGGCTGTTGCCAAAAATTCATCTGGGATACATGGCATACCTGGTAGTCTCTACTACTTAGACACTACCATCAAAAACACATCTCGTGATGAGAATCTTTGGTTGAGTGGTTACGATAACTGCAGGCTTATTTACCCTGCGACGGGAGGCAATCGGTAGGAAGGTAATGTCAAGGCAATACCATCTCGAATACCTTCCATTGGCGGTGGGAACATCCAGAAACCGTGTAAATCACTCCGACCGTAGATCGAAATGGAAACGTGATGGACGAGAATTCAAGTAGACCGGGGGTGGGGGGGGTAATCCCCAGATCAATTATCGCCCAGCACAAACTAATCACACCTCGCTTTATCTCATAATTATCATACCAAGGGTTGGTTATCTACCCTTCCATTTAAAAAAAAAAACCCCCCCAGCGAATTTTTAATTTTTTTTTGAGTCTCATATGATAGACTGATAGATTACAGTCCTTATCTCCAAGGATAGTATAGTATATCGATATCCTACATATCCACCCCGTCCGAGTTTTTATTATTTATACCGGATCGCCAATTCCGAAGTTAACCCGAGTAGAAAGAAGCCAAACTAACTTACGTATGATATGTACGAAGCTCGTCCCCCCCCCCCCCCTTTTCGTGACACCCAACTCAAACATTTCGGATAAATTGGTCTCATGGCTTACAGATCTTAAGAGCCCTCCTGAAAAAAAAAAAAAAATTAGAAAAAAATAATAATATACATACAGTGCAGTAGTAGTACAGTACAACCACACAACAGCGGAATCTGAACTCTTCTCTACCTCGCACCCGTGAAATTCCCCACCCTAGTTGGTCAGTTCTCGAATCCTGTGAGTGAGCTATCGCGGCCTAAGTTACCGCGCCCTATCCTACGAGTAGACCTGCCGACAGCGCAAGGTAGACTACCACAGTCGCCGAAGCAGAAAAATCCGAGTGTAGGGTGGGGCAGGTACAATACAATACTCGTACACACAGCAATCCTCCTAGTCCGATAAATAGATGGATGCCAATTTCAATCAATTAATCAGTGAGTGATTCGCCATGATGAGAATTATTTTCCCTCCCTCCCCCTTCCCCCCCGTATTATGATACTTTCTCGTTGTGGGATGAATGAGAAAGGAGTGAGTGTTTTTGGAGAGGTAGGTAGGTGGGTGGGTGGGTATGATACGGTATAATAGATAGCCCTAGTTGATGAAATATATGATAATTATTTTGATAACAAATGAACTACATACCGGATTCCCCGTCCCCACCGAGGACTATGATAGACCATCGTGCCCCCCTTCAAGGAAATGGAACGGATGAGCTACGATACCGGTACCGTACTGTACTGTACAAATGACGGCATTACAAGGCTGCCCACCCGCCCACTCCTGCTCTGTAGAAGAAGTTCCTCGGGGATGATTACGGTACCAGTGATGGAAGTCTTAGCGAGTGAGTGAGTGAAATGAATGAACGACGCCAGGGTGGGGGGGGGGTTGGCTCGCCATGTATTCGGATAAGGGGGAATTTAGGGAATGTATGTAGAGTGTTGGTAATCATAACCGCCCTTGTGTAATCATGGGTAATTTACCTGTGTCGGGCGCGCACTTGCCGCTTATATATCTCATAATACTGACACGAGCCATTCTACACTTCGAGTATGATATATATACATACATGCCACTATATCATGCTGGAAATCTCGTGTACTGTACAGTATCGCTACTCTACCACCAACCCAACCCAATCCAACCCAACTCGCCCACAAACGCCTCCTTACCAACTCCCTCCCGGCATAGCCATCACCCTCTCGTACCTAAGTAGTTTTCACCGCCCGGCCGGTGTGATTCCCACCGTGATGTCCACTTCCCACGGCTGTGATCGGCTAGGACTGGAAATTCACCCTCGTGCCCAGGAAGAGTTGCAGTATCCCCGGGCGAGCGGGTCTCCCGGGGGGTATGGGTTACGTGATTTGAGTTACTGGCCCTTGTAAATAAAGCAGTGCGGCAACGGCACTTCCGGGCCTGTATCTCTAGGAAGCCTTGCCGCGAAGCTATCGCGCAGGCTTGGGAGGTTCGGAGGGTAATGCCGGATTGTGCAACTTTTTGGCTTCCTTACGCACCCGGACGACGCCGGGGATCCACGGAAGGGATGTCGGGTGTTGCCAGCATCCCGTATCTGTAAAGGTCCAGGTTTAGTATCATTACCAGGAACCTTTACTTCCGGAAGCGCTTTGAAAAAGCAGTTCATGGTGCCCAGAGACAGAGCCTCAGACAAAATCAGGTGGCGCAGATTCTGTTAACCACAGCCGCTCAAATCCTCCCGGAACTGTCGAGCCTTCGAGTGATTCTTTATGAACCGAGTACCACGCAGCACCATAACACCAGCACAGCAGAGCAATACGTTAATATAATAAATTTGTAAACGACATCCCACCCCCATCCCCCACCCACTACCCCACCCACCTATCCTAAGCCATCCACCAACCCAACCCTCGAAGGTTCCTCTAACAAGAAAAAAAAAACCCAAGTCAAAAAAAAAGAAAGAAAAAAAGAGACTACAAAAACTTATAACATGAGAATAAATAAATAAGTAAAAAGGAAGACTAAAACACCTAGTTAGTTACTCACGCAGACATCGCAGCACCGGCGAGGCCCAAGCAGGGAGATGAGCGGAAGACGAGTGAGAGAAAAGGAAAAAACTAGATCAGCAGGAAAAAAGAAAAGAAAAAGAAAAAGAAAACGCCTCCGGAGTTACAGCTAAAGGAATGATGCCCCGACTTTTACTATTTCACAAACAAGAAGGAATGAAAACGGGGAAAAAGATCGATGGTAAGTACGAAAGAGGCATGAGAGCGAGGAGGGAACAGGGGAAAAAGAGAGAGTGATTCTTTTGTTGGAAGGAAATTTGTGGCTAGCTACGAGTGAAGCGAATGATATAGGTAGAGGGGAGGATAAGGTAAGAGCAAATGTGAGGGATGCAGTGTCAAAAAATCAAGTGCGAGAAGGGTAGAATTGAAGAGGGAATAAGTTTAATGAAATTCCTCCGTCTATACTCACGCCTTCGCAAACATAAAACTAAGAAAAGAATGCAATCAACTAAATGCTCGCTCAACTCCGATTGACAAAAAACCGAAAAGAAAAGGGAAAAACGTAACCAGGCCAACACCCGCCGCTCAGGGCTGCTCGAGTAAGGGCGGGGGAGCGGAGATGAAAACCGGAGAGGAGAAAAAGAAGAAACAAGAAGGGCCATTATGTATGTATCCTGAAAACAAAGCTTTCTTAGTAGCGCCCATAAGCCCTACCGGAGGACCAATAGAGTTTCCTAATCGCAGTAGTCAGCAATAAACCTCCATAGTAGCCCCTCTTAGCTTCATGCCTCAGATATTCCGAGCGCTATCTAGTCAAAGCATAGCCAGAGGACTGACTGGCTGGATACCCGGCAAGCTCAGATCCAGCTTCTCGGCACTACTACCGCCACCCGGTGTGGGCCCAGGAGTTTGAGTATCTGCTTCCGAAGCGAACTCCGATGCCGGACTTGTGGGTGGACGACCTGTTTCCACCTGCAAACTTGATTGGTCAGGGTCCTTGTATTTCCGCTCGTCGTTTTGAGCCCCCGGCAGTGGTCCCTGGGAGAGCGGTGGGGAAGGTTGAGACTTCCCCTGCTTACGCTCCTTCGAATCCTTACTGGATCCCCCCCTACGGCGTCCAACCCTGCTGAGAGACCTAGCAAGGGATCTAGGCTCCGGCGATGGTGTCTTTTGAGGCCGAGTATTAGAAGAATTCGATGGATAGCGATCAACATTGGTTTGGCTAGTCGACCGTGACTCAGGTGCCGAGGAAGCGTCGTGGTATTGGCTCTGACCAGAAGAGGCAGTTGAAGGCTGCCTACTAGGGATAACCCTCCTATACTCTTCCTCTTCCGTCTTGCATCCAGCCCAACACTCATCCCAGCTACTGACAAGCCAATTAAAGCAAAAACGGTCAATTCTAAGAGTAGAACAGAATATCATGCCGAGATTCGCAAGATTCATTTTGTTTATGTCGGAAGCGCTACAAACAGCACTCAAATGAGAAAAAAGATGGTGAAGTAGGTAGTAATTCTAAGCCATGTTTGTTAGGAATTTACTCTCAAGTCAACCAATCGATTGGGGGGGGGGGGCAGGGAGATGGCTCACATAGGGGGGCAGCTGTGAAAGTTCGTCGATGAATGCCTGGGGCGGTTTCGGGGCATCGGTTTGATCCTTACACTTTTCGTATACCCGCTTCTGAACCTCCGGAGGGAGTACCGCTTCGGGCACTATCGAGATATGTTAACGGGGGTAAACTAGAATGGGCACACCACTTTTGTATACTCACACGATCGGAACCATCCTTTGAGCAAAGACGATACAGTATGGAGGTCATCGGGAGGGTTGTCAAAAAGATCCACGTCATGCTCTGGAAAAAGAATGATTAGCCTTGAGGTGCCTAGGGTGTCGTGAAGCCATACGCATTTTGAACTCTGCTCTTAAATCGTCAACAACAGACGTGCTTCCAGAGATTCGATAAATTCCAAGTTCAGGTGGGCCGTGCACGTTGAGGTATCTAAAATTCAATGTTAGCAGCCACCTCCAAGTATATTTGCGTGGCAATCCAGGTAACAGGGGGACATACTGAAGGCACCGATACGCCAAAGCGGGCATCCAATATGCCGCATCAGCAGGACCCTTCCTCTCCTTCACGATTCTAGTCCGCACGACAGCTTCCCGCAAATCCATACCGAAAACATCGATGTCATTGCTAGAATCCCTGAGGCTTACATTACCCCCACCAGAATAAGGTGAACCAGTCGGTCCAGAATGGCCATTTTTCTCCTTCCCCTTCTTGATTTTACCCCAAGCTTCGTGCCCTTTTTTCCCCAGAAATTTAGCGGCTCCCAATCCACCGGATCGAACCTGCCCCCCCCCTTTCTTGACGATGCTCAACAAGCTTCCCCCCTCAGCCAATGCAGAGCGTTGCGGTGCCGGTCGATCTGGTAAAGGGGGCGGGTTATCCGAGGAGCCACAGGCAGGTGAAGCAGGATGCGAATTAAGTTTTGTGAGGCCTCTATAATTTGATGCATCAGAGCTCTGCGACCTAAACGACGATTTTGTCGAAGATTTGGATGCCGACTTCACTCGAGGGACCTTCATTGTTGGGGAAGGTGAGGCGGATTTGGTGGGTGGAGCCCGATTATCGGCAATCCGCGAAATCGCGGTAGCTGTATTAAGAGCAACCGGCGCCATGTCAGATTTTCCACCAGTCAGTTGTCTCTGCAGAAGCTTTCTTCTCGGGGCCACCTGGTTGGTCGGTGACGGTGATTTTTGAGTAGACGTATCCTTGGGAGGAGCTCGGGGTGGACAGTCAGTTTCAAGCGATTCCTTCTGCCTCAACTCGTCCTGCTTTGCTGCTACCTTCGCGAGTGTAGCGGCTGTCGTCTTGTGACCCTCGTGGAGATGTTTCCCTTTAGCAGAGCTACCGTTGGTCCCAGAAGCGGGCTTTGGATCCTTTTTTCCCATGACAGCCGGTCCACGAATAGTAGAGAGATGCAACAATGTTCGGCCTTGCTGCGGCTTATGGGATAAACGCGGCGATTGGAACAAGGCCACTAGCTCCACGTCACGGGCAAACTGATTAAGACGCAGGCCCCTTGCTATTATTATTATTATTTTTCTATTTTTTTTTTTTTCTTCCCCCTCTCCCTTCTCGTGCTTTGCAGTCGAATGGATCCGAAGCTGGGGAACTTGGGCTGACGAGGTACGAGTAGTTGTTCTGGTTTGTGTGGGTGGGTGGGATGCTCAGGGTTTTGGGGGGGGGGGGGGGCGGAATGGATTTCTTGGTCCAGCAGCAGCACTAGCACGTATGCGTGTGCAATGAACTGGCTGGTGGTTGGCTAAGCTTGCTGCGTTTCTGGCGTTTGCGGACGAAGCGGTAGGTGGTGGTTGGATAGAAATGGGAGACCTGCAACCAGCTATTATGATTCAAGAAGCTGACACCGGAGGTGCAAACAAACAAACCGAATCCGCCAAAATTCCTCTTTCTCTCTCTCTCTCGCTTTCCTTCAGCGGAGAGGGAGAGATGTGTGGATAGGTGTGGAGACTCAGGCAACGCAGAGGATGGAGGTGAAGATGATGAAATGGAGAAAGTACCGTGGTTCAGATCATCGGGTGACACATGTATGGGGGAAAGTAGCGCACAGAGAATAGAATGAGGAAAAAGGAAAGAAAAAAGGAAAGAAAGAAAGAAAATAGTTGTCAGTTCCCTCGTTTCAATTGCATTCCGACTCTTCGGACGGGAAGGGGGAAGCGAAGAGAGGCGCCCGTCAACTCAGTAGTGTAGGGACTCGTACATGGCAATACGAGTAGAATAAATTATCAATATGCGACTTATAAATGCAACAGTGCCACGCGATCGGATCTAAGAAAGGGGAAGACTTTGGACCGTCAAATCTATTCCGGGAAGGAGAGGAGGGAGATGCCCGACAATCTCTTTCAAAGGAATGTCGTGGAGGAAGGGGAAGGGATACGAAGGGGAGCAAAGGCGGGGATGGGGATGTGTGGGGGGGAAGAGCGAGAGACTAAGTTACAGTGTCCCGTCTACAGAGCAGACCGGTCGTCTGGAGATGAGCAGGGTCGGCCAAAGCCCTTCATTCCCCGCCATCCATGATTAAAGCCGTCGTACAGTACCGTACATGGGAACTCTGTGATGGACCTGGCTACAATTCCGAGAACGTGTATCATACCCGCGCATACCAAACACCGTATGACAGGAGAGGAGATTCACAGGGCTCCCGAGCCCCCAGCAAAAAGAACAACCTCAGGGCGAAAATGGGCATCAAAGCTCCAAGATGAGGTGGAACCTTGCAGCAGTTGGAGCCCTTTCACCCATACATGCGTAGAGAACCCATACCCGCCCATACCGTATCCCCTCGTTTCCGCAGATACCGTGCATATACCGGTATCCCACCTTCCTTCACACTCAACGTTCCTGCACAACTCTGCGGACCTTCCCCCACCACACACAGCAGGAGTCCACCATACCCCGCGGTCGTAACATTGCCGCACTCCCAGAGTAAAGAAAGAAGCATGTACGAGTACAATACGGTACTCGAGGACAGCAACCAAGGAAAAAGCAAGAAGGGGCGGGGAAGAGAAAGGTACCGGTAGGGAGAGCTCAACCCCTAGTGCGCTAGTTCAAGCACGAGTGCACTTGTATCACAAGTTCTGGGAGGTGCCTTGCCGCAGATAGATGTTATATAGTGTACCGGCAGTGACCTCTGAACATCCTGGCGGGCGAGGGGCCGATATGGCGTACTCCGGGGGCTCTAATGCCATGCAGAAAGCCACACACTCCCGGATCGTCGGATGATACCGGTATTCTCAGGGCGCCTCACAAAACCTTCCCTCCATCCTGCCGCAATATCGCTAACAACGACCGATAGGCACCATACATGCGTACTAGCACAGCATTCTCCCGGGTCCCATATTCTCCGCGATAATACGAGTATTATTCGTCGCCCTTGCCCCCGCATGGATGGCACTCCCAGGCTCTTTTTTTCCCGTCAACAATTACTCGTAGAACGGAGCCGGCCCATCTCTCGCGTGCAGCGTGGTGCCTGCCCTGACTTGGGGACCTGGCTGGAATAGGACAAGTCCAGGGGCACTTCACATACTTCCGAGGCTTGGCCTGTAACGCATCCTAAACAGATCCCTGAGCGGCCGAGAGGGGACGGTCGGTCGACGGGGGAAGAAGATTACCGCACCCTTCAATTGATCCGAGCCAGATACGGTATCATACCGTATATCGCCATCGACCTGTCGCAGGAATGTACTAGTACTGTACACATCTCCCCCCCACCCCCCGCCCACCGTGCAGGGCTGTTTTACTCGTGGCCAGCGTTGGGGTGCGCTGCTGAAACGTCCCCACCGTGCGGTTTTCTTCCTCTGCGGCCAGGACGGTCGGCGGTGATTATCCGGGTCAAATCTTGGATGGATGTGAAACAACGGTGCCGATGTGGTACGACATGAGGGCTTCGCTGCCTGACCATACCTTACGGGCTCATTGCTCCCCTTCCATTGGATCAGAGCGACGGTTTCCGTGGTGACTGCATCGCCGCTCTCAAACGCTTCCGCAATAAGACTACGACCGTTTCTTTGTCCCAGTACTCGAGTGCTTGTACCCGAGTACAGTATGATACCGGTATGTTTGTCTCGCATACCGTACTGTCGCCAAGCTTTGATGTGCAAGGGGAGATTCGGTAGAGATGGAGGTATGATCCTCGAGTACCGGTAGGCTTGGATAAACCTGCTCGATAAAAAAAATATCTATTATTATCCATACTTCATACGGACACCCCAGCAGCTACATGTAGTTGATCAAACCCCCCCCCTCTCCACCCTTCCTTATACATGCACACACTACCATTCCTGGTCGAGCAATATATGAACCTGGGCCGTGGACCAGCATCTCGCAGACACCTCGAGGCAAGGGACCGACATTTCCCTCCCGCGAGCCCCCTCCACTGTACCCATCCTTTTCACAGTTCCGCCGCTCAAAAAGGGGAGAGGCCGTCTACCACTCCACTCCGACTTGTACAAATGTGTCGCGCGATTGCGGTGTGCTGGGCGGGACGAAAACAACAACTCTGATACCAGCACTCTCTGCGTGATGGCACTATTCTCCGCCTTCCACCGCCGCGGCCGCGGCCGCCGAGTGCACGATGGTGCGGCGGAGCGAGGTGCTCCGGCAAGAGAGGTAGGGAGACTGGCTCCCCATGCTCGGATAATGCACGCGCACTCGTTTCTGGACCTTTGTCTTCCGTTGGGGGGGGTAAAGTTCAGGCCTCCATGGATGCACGTTCCAGCAGGGGTGCATTACGTTCTATTCTTCGGCCGAGCTCCGTAATTGGTGCATAGCCGGCCGGCACGAGCAGGGTGGCTTATCTTGTGTTGTACGAGTACTGTACGGGGCTAGTTGTGCTGTAGCTGTGCGGGAAGAATCCCGCAGCTTTTGTGTTTCTTTGTTGCGGTCTTTTTGTTTTGGATGGTTTAGGATTGTTTGTTCTTCCCCCGAAACATTTCAACAGTAGCACAAACACCGTAGCCTGTAGCCTAAACTCGACGGGCGTCACTTAAGCCCGAGCGGGATGCTGATATCGAGTGATTGTCTATGAGCACCTTCATGAAACCCTCTGGTTAGCCAAGAGAACTGACTTGAGGTGGGACACGTTCATAGTACTGATGATGCATCTAGGATCCTCCATCCTTGGGAGCACATAAGAGTTACTCGGCACAAAAAGACTGATACGCTCGGGCATGAGGCTTCGGCATGATGCTGGATTTGGCCAGGGAGGATAGCATCCCCAGCCCTGCCTGGTTAGTCGCTAAGGTCTCGGCCCCCTCAAGCTTTGTCCCCATTAACCTGGGGTCTGGAGCTTGGTAAATAATCCGCATAGCTTTCCCCCGACGGCAGGCGTTTAGGCACGTGAGCTACAGTTTGCTAGTCCAGGTATTCTAGTCGCTTACTAGAGTTACTTGCAGGTGGCTTTTGTATGATGCGGCGCTCGAGTAGGATCCGCTGAGAAAAGGCAGTCGGGGGGAAAAGAAAGCAAGAAAACACCAGCTCGGAGCAATCTCACATGCCTGTTACCGGGCCTGTGGATTTCCCGTGCTATTGTCGCTCATGCGCCCCGGGCGATGGCTATTTGGCGTCGTTGAAGGCTTGTGGGTTGGATGAGTTCATTCGTCAGGTTTTGACTGACTTATGGTATCAAACGGTATCATACAACAGCCCAATGCGGTGGGCGGGAACACTGCATTCCTGTACCGGCACCGTATCTGTACTTCTGCCCAAGAACCGGTGCCCGGTTACCGTACCTTGGTATCCTGTGCATGAGCGACACAATAATTAACTTACCGCCATCACGCTGGATGGCCGGTCACCGTCGTCTCGCGAGCAGTAATACCGGTAGTTTAGGGGACATTCGTGCAAAAAAAAACCATATATCATACATTCACCCCACCAATAGGGTACCCTAATCCCCCGATCCAGCAAACAAACCTATCAGCTTTGAGATCAACTCCCCAAGCCCACTCGTTCCTGCATCAAAACTACTGTACTTTGGTGGATAGTTAACCCCCCCTCTCTCGACTCCCGATGGTTGGACTCTGATCATCCGGCACTGAGGGTACATCTCAGACCCCTATCGTGAGAGAAATGTGGAGATATTTAGACTACCGTACGGTGAAGGCCAATACCGGTAGGCTGTCGCCTTATCGTGTCACCCAGCAAAAAATAAATTACAGTATCATAATACCGGTATTATAATAATTATTATATAAAAAAGGCCGTGTCACGTGGCACCAAGCCCTGCGTGCAGCGTGATGTCGTCAGTTTACCGGCTTGGCGGAATTTGCCAGCTGGACTCACAGCACGCGAAAAAACGCTCGCCGTTCTGCCTCCCTCTGGAAAAAGTTTTTGATCGAACAAACCCCCTTTCCCCGCACCCCATCGTGCTCAGAGCTGGAACTCCTCTGTTCCTCACACAAAGAGCTAGGATGACTGTTCACGCTTTGCAAGATGGAATAACGCTCCCGAGGAGCGATAATGATACGCACACCGGGCTTCCGACTGACACGAGTATGCACCTCTCCACTCCTTACTCTATATTCCATTCATTCTGTCTTGCATTTTTGACTGACTGACTGGCTGACTGTGATTTTTTCTAGGGAGGGCCGATCTGCCAACCCAGCTGGTCATCTCCACGACGCTCGGATTGGGTGCTTTCTTGACGTTTTGTTTCTTGAGGCCAAGGTGGTCCTCACTCTACGCGGCTCGGAAAAGGCAACTTGGCTCAGGTGAGCTGAAAGGGGGGAGTGTTTTTTCTTTCTGATATTGTCTCGAAGCTGACATTAGGGGGTGTCATCAGCTGCATCATTGCCGAATCTACCAAAGACTTTCTTCGGTTGGATACCGGTGCTGTGGGGGATAACGGATGAACAAGTGCTGTCGTCGGCTGGCCTCGACGCATATGTGGTATGCACTTTGATTGTCTGCGCTGCACTGCCACCATGGAATCTCACTGGCATTTTTAGTTTTTATCATTTTTCAAGATGGCTATCAGATTCCTATCGATCGCCGCTGTACTAGCGTTGACCGTGCTCATGCCTATACATCTACACTTTGACCGTTCGGTTCCGAAACCTCAGGTTTCGTTTTCGGAATGGGCACTCAGGCCTACTGGTCGAGGGATGAATGTCCTTGGTGGTAAAGATAAGGATGAGATTAAGCTTGATGGGCCATATCTCTGGGTTTACGTGGTATTTGTTTACATTTTCACTGCCCTGGCAGTCTATCTGCTCCTCGACCAGTCCAAGAGGGTGCTCGCCGTCCGGCAAAAGTGTCTCGGGAATAGAGTCACGATCACCGATCGTACCGTAAAGTTGTCTGGGATTCCAAGAGTACTCAGGTCGGAAGAGGCCTTGAAGGAGTATATTGAAGGCTTGGGGATCGGGAAGGTCGACTCGATTACTATCTGCCGGAATTGGGCAGTGTTGGATCGTCTTATGGCGCAGAGGCAGGATCTCGTGAGACGGCTGGAAGAGGTATACGTCGTTTACACCAGACATTGCAGAGCTAGGAGAAATTTGGACACTCTGCCCTTTGCCCGGCCGTCGCCCCCACAACCGTTACCATCGGAGGATGAGGAAACACAGCCGCTGCTCAGTTGGGATCCTCATCCTTCTCGTGGGGATGATAGACCGAGGATGATGGTACGGGTCGGGCTGTGGGGTTTGAAAAGAAAGAAGGTCGATGCAATCGACTATCTTGCGATGAAGCTAAAGGCACTTGATGAGAAGATTGTTGGGGCCAGAAAGAAGGAATATGAACCCACTTCCATAGCGTTTGTTACTATGGAGTCTGTTGCATCGGCTGTAGGTCCCTGACCGCCCTGTGAATGGGACTCCCGCTCACTCTTATGAAGCAAGTTGTGATTCAAGCAGTTCTGGATCCGCGCGCCAACCGAATGACAGCTACTCAAGCACCCGCGCCGTCGAATATTGTCTGGGAGAATACCTACAGGTCACGTGGTACTCGTCTGATTTGTTCATGGGGGATCAGTATCCTTGTCAGTCTACTTTCAATCGTCTGGCTTATACCTGTTACTGGTCTTGCTGGTCTTTTGAACCTTTCAGATATCCGTCGGGTTTCGCCAGGCCTTGCCGACCTCTTGGAGGGTAGCCCTATTATTAGCTCCTTGATCCAGAACACCTTGCCAACCGCCGTTTTGACGCTTTTCAACATCCTCGTGCCATATTTCTACGACTGTAAGAACCTGTAGCCTTGCTTTTAGAGTTTATTCTAGGGGCGGTGCGTTGATCGTAGGGGATATAGGGCTCTCAAACCGCCAAGGCCAAATCTCCCAAGGAGATGTGGAGCTCTCGCTGATCAGCAAGAATTTCTTCTTCACGTTCTTTAACGTATTTTTCGCCTTCACAACCCTGTAAGTGTCCATTTCACAAGCCTGAGGGTTGAAGTTCTCACATGTGTTGCCAGCGGAACCGCCCTTACCTACAAGAATCTGTGGGAGCAGCTGAAGGGTTCACTCTCCGATACTACAAGGATCGCATATGCGCTGGCGCGGTCCCTTGGAAATCTTGCTTCTTTCTATGTGAACCTTATCATCCTTCAAGGAATCGGCATGTTTCCATTCCGCCTCCTCCAGTTTGGAAGTGTCGCTCTTTACCCTATCATGTACGCCGGGGCGAAAACGCCTAGAGACTTCGCTGAGCTCGTCAGGCCCTCGATCTTTTCTTACGGATTCTTCCTACCGCAGCCTATCTTGATTCTTATCATCTGTATCGTCTACAGCGTTCTGCCTTCTGGGGCCCTAATTCTTGGGTTCGGCTGGGTTTACTTTGTCATTGGGTACTTTACATACAAGTACCAACTCCTATACTGTTTGCACCCCCCACCCTCACCCTTCCCACCCTAACGCATCGTCATCATATTAACCCTCACCAGCAATGGACCACCCCCAACACTCCACGGGCCAAGCTTGGAGCATGATATTCTACCGCGTAATACTCGGCCTCGTCGTCTTTCAGCTCGCCATGGCTGGATTCCTCGCAATCAACCACGCATTCACAAGATCCTTTCTCATTGTCCCGCTGCTCCCCGTAAGTATATGGTTTGCATGGATGTTCTCGAAGGTATACGTCCCCTTGAACAAATTTATCGCTCTTAAAGCCGTGAGGGAGCCAGAGTTTGCGAACGGGAGCACAGTCTCTGAAGACATGATGGAGGAGGAGAGAGAGAAGGGTGAGAAGTTTATTAATCCTAATCTGGTTATTCCGTGAGCAGCACCGACCCCGATATTTGGAGTAGTGTGTCTTTAGTGCTGATAGTGAGCAGATTAGAAGATTCTTGGGTGATTGGTAGTAGGTATCAGCAGCGGCACCAGGAGTAGGAATTGAGAAACGGAGAAGAGAATTATCAGCGTTTTTGGAATAATCGTATGATGACGAAACGAATGGACTCTGGAGCGAAGCAAACAAACTAGAATTGGGGGTATACCATTTATTTTCATAGCTATCGTAATAATTGCAACATGGTAAATAGGTTAGCGCGGAGAATAGCGCCTAGCCGTTTTAGTTAATTTGAACTTTTTTCGTGATTTAGCACTTGGATGTAACAATCATGGATAATCACTGCATGATTAGCTGCACGTTGGGAGAGGTGCAATACTCGTGGAAAAGGAATGGGCAAGGGGAAAAAAAGAAAAAGTTTGCGATCGCGGGAGGACTCGAACTTCCAATCTCTGGTGCCGAAAACCAGCGCCTTGACCATTAGGCCACGCGACCATGAAGGAGGTCTGCGGTTTAATATGTAGAAAGTTTGTCGGATGCGATACCCACGCTTAGCCCTTCCCGTTCAGACACGGAGTATCACTCGCAGGGAGCCTGATGGAGGAAAATTCCAAGGTGTAATGCGGGGGAGAAGCGTCATACTTTGCTCCGGGGGTGGAGTCGGAAATCGAAGACCCGCCGACACTGTTCGAACATGTGCACCGAGGAGGATCCATCAATTCCCAGCACCTCCGCGTACGAGTGGTTGGATAGGTTTTCGACCATTACATAAAAAAAGGCAAGGCAAGGGAAGGGAAGGGAAGGGAAGGGAAGGGGAATGGCGGGTCTTGTTTGACGGAGGTGGGTTGGTATGATCTTTGATAATATGCAATTTTTCTCTTTTTTTTTTTCGGGGGTGGAGGAGTGCGTATGAATATAGGGGAATAGGGAGTGTGATATGTGTAGTAGTAGTATCATATCATATCATATCATATCATATCATACGTATGGGATCGTACCATAGGAGGGGATACTCATTAATTTGTTGCATAATCCTGGGTTATTTTGAGGACTGCTGTGTATGGCTATGCGCAGAGTATGTACTGTACTTTCGTGGTGAGTGGTGGTGATTCACTATGTATGTATATATGTATGTATGGGGGGAAGGGGGGTGAGTAATTGGAGTATTATATGGGTTCTCTAATCGTCAAAGGACTCTGGGGCTCGAGATGTTCGTTTTGGGAAGGGGAGGGGAGGGAGTTGGAGGGGAGATTGGGTTTTTTGATGTTGGTGAGGGACTATTTGTGGCAAGTGCCCGCTCAGTCGTGGTAGGCGGTGGTTCGTGACTGGTAGAGATATAGTGGTGCCTGTTGGGCACTCCTCGGGAGGCTCCCGTTAAGTCGCCCCTTCCTTACGTACTTGCCTGCGAGACGCAGATGTGCGAGTGAGTGAATGAGTGAGATTCCCATGAACGAAGGGGAACAGAGCGCTGGGTAATGGATGGGGAGGCCAGACAAGGGCGGACCAGGAAATATGGCAAACGGCTGCGGGGGCTATGATAAGCAAAATTATACTATAATGTGAAGCTCTAAGGGAACTGAAATATTTTGGTTGTCCCGCCGGGCCAATCCGGGGATCGTATTCTGAACCTTAAAAATTCACGCCCAGACCTATGCCGAACGACATATTATGGTATTTCATACCCGACCGCTTAACCGCACGCCATCGTGATATTCCTGCTGAATAGCAGTGAGGAGCAGAGTTTGTTCTGTTGACCGTGTTGGGATTGACGTCGCTTGAGGAAGAATGAGGTGATATATTTCTATGGAAATTGCCCGCCGCGCATACACAGCCCGTTTAGCCAAGTTGGGGTTGACATCCTCTCGGGTCAGAAAAACCGATCTCGATATTGGCTGGTGGTCGCTCCGAGGGTGCTACTCCTATGCAATTGTTTGCATGGTAAGGGTATGTGAAAGTGCTGTTTGACTTATACTCAGCGAGGTCGGACTGGATATCTTTGCGATCCAGCGACAGCTCCATTATTCCCCCATGACTGGAACTAGATGCCCATGAAATTGGGCTTCGGCCACTATGATCCACTGAATCGGCGTTGATTCTCTCATACTATCTCCATGGAGTCTGTCAATAGACCAAGATAATAGATGAGGTTTGTCCCCGTACGTGTCCGCCCGATTGGCATTTGCGCTTCCCTGGGCAAGAAACATGTTCATGATATGTTTGTTCCCATAAACCACAGCCCGACACAGTGGAGTGTGTGTTCACCTCGGCGATTGCACATTGGGGCGGGAGGCGGCCATAAACGCCGTCAGGTGCAGGATCAAAGTCCTCCCGGTCGACGAGGAACTTGGCCACATTCCCGTAGCCGTTCTCCGGAGCGGTAATGGGCGGTGTTTGGTCGGTGTCTTTCCCGCTCATGGGCAGCTTCACTACTTCCCAGTGGCCCAGCTCAGCGGGGTGCTGAGCTCCGGCCTGCTAAATTGATATTGACAGGCGTCAGGAGGGCAATTTCGGCTGATGCGGCGCCACTCTGTGCCCTAGGGAGCTCCCCTCGGAGTCGCCGCGTATCGGTATGATATTAATTGGCTGGTGCTACTATCCATGCCCTGGCAGTCATTGCCCTAGACGTTCAGCTGAGGCTGGGGCATGATGAGAGGTGGCGAGAGGGTGGCGAGGCGTCATGTTGACAGGGCTCTTTATCGGCGAGCTACCAGTGCCTACTAGTTTGGCAAGTAGCAACAGGGACAGGGCGAGGCGAGGCAATCCGGCCCTGCATGATCACTACTACTCGAGTACTCGAGTATGTGTGGGATTTACACAGCAGCCGGTGGCCAGGATCATTCAGCAAGCCCGGCCCAATTTCAAATGCTTGGCCATGAACCCACCCACGCTTTTAATCCGACACAGTACATCACTCGCTTTTCTTCATCGCCGGAGCCCCCGGGGATATTTACCGCTGCTGTTAGCCAGAGCTTTCTCATAGAGGACTTATCTAAGTATGAAATTTGGAGAAAGTGGCGCCCAGGGTTGTTGAACTTATGGAAACGTGCCCAATTCCAGCCCTGAACTTCACAACCCGGAGCACAAAACTGAGATAAATACTGTCAGTAGTAGATAGAGGGTTGTCCTTGGCGAGAAAGGGATAGTAACAGTATAGTAGAGATAGGAGAGTTGACCGTATTGTCACTTTTCATTAAAAAATAAAATATAATAAAAACTCTTCATTTCGAGATGAAAGAAATATACACTTTTTCTCTGAGACTCCCGTCTCATGATTCCGGGCATAGCGCTATTATGAGTATATATTGTAGAATAAAATTTTATAAAAAGAATTAGAAAAAAATAATATCATTGTATAATACCTAGTGTGGTTCTGGAAGACTACCGTAGATCTGGGACTACATTTCTCGTGAAGAGTGACAGCCCCTGGTATCAGGTTTTCTGTAATACCTTCAACTGAGTTTAGAAGCCTGCGGTAGCAACAATTAAAACTGTTATTCTCATCAATTGAAGGTATGATTTTCTAAAAATCAAATGGGACAAATAATATGAGTTTATAGCAGTTAAGGTTAAGTTAATATACAATCAGGGAGGTGAAAACGTGATGTTATATCTCTGGAGTGTGTGCGTGGGTCAGTATTGTAATCGAGTTAGCTAACCTAAAGGTTATGGTAATAATAAATGGGTTATTTCTATTTATTTTTATTCTCATCGACAACTAAAAAAAAAATAGGTTATAATATTATGATATCATACTAAACTGAAATTTAGGAATTATGGAAAATGTCACATCCAAAACTGTCACTTTTGGCGAGAAAAGTGGTCCTATATTATCATAATACACGAAATGTGTATATAAATATCAGCATCGGAGACAAGGGATAAGGGGTTATCCTCTTATAGTTAAGGCCCAGTTTGGCTCGCCATCGATTGAGTCATTCGTCCGTCGATTCGAAACGAGTTTTTTTATTCTTTGGAGCTGTTACGTTGCTAAGAAATTTACTCAACATGCCCTTCAGCATGGGTTAACACTTACTAACTTAATTCTGCAACTCTCCATATGCCCCAACCCGTTTTCGATCGACAAACAAACCCAATCGATGACGAGCCAAACTGTGCCTGACTTTCCAGCTATATATATTGCACAAACCACCCTTCCCCTGTGGACAACACAACACACCTCGATCAAGATCAACAGCAGGACCGAGCAAGTCTATCACCACCACCACCACCACCACCCCAATGCTCTATTCCGTCAGATCTCTTCCCCTATACCGGACCGCATTTCATCACGTAGCTCATCGTAGTCTTCATACTACTCCACTAGTACTCAAGGTCAATCGAGGAATGCATACAGCCCAACCAACTGCCAATCAACTACGGGACAAAGTCCGTCAGTGTATAGACAATCTCCGCACCATCGAGACCGGTCTCTCTCAGATGCCCGCAAAACCACAGGCCCGCCGGAGCTATTCACCAGAGGAGTATCGGGATTACTGTTTTGGTCGTACTAAGGAGCCACCACCGGGAATGTGTCCACATCTCGTCGAATTAATCGAGTACCGGGTAGGTGGCCTCCTTTCCCATGAGGTTCTGGATATATTGCTAATATCATCTGATAGAATGGCATGCTCTCGAGCTCGCAAGAGAAAATGCTCGTATACGGGGACTATACCCCAATCGGAGCACTAAGTATGAAAACAATCCAAGGGCATGACGCAAATCCAATTATCACTAACCCAAGACCGCAGTACATATGGTCTACAGCGCAAGGCTTCACAAAACAATTCCCGATTGCATAGGACTGCAAGAGGAACTCGACGCGCTTGCCAGTCAGGAGGAATTCGTTTCCGCTCTCCGCGAGGAGGCGCGAGCCCGCGGGCTCGTGGCGGAAGAGGTTTGCGATGCCGTTCACGGGCTCTTCGATGCGGTATCGGAGGAAACGAGGATCCCGAGCAGTGAGATCGTTGTCGAAGCGGGAAAATATACTCCCAATCAAGTGGCTGCGCTTGTTGCTATCTTAAAGGCCCAGGCAAAGTGGCCATCCCCGCTAGAGTGGAGGGAGCAACCGTCCGATCATTAAACGGTGCAGGGAAAAAAAGTGGCTGGTTGTATCATATAAGAGGACATCATACTTGTACAGCACAGTGCAATAACTCAAATTCTACCGGTAGTCTACTGTGGATTCAGTCCAAACCCCAACCAGCTTTTCCCCCTTCACAAATCATTGTCTGTGATATATGGGTGGATAATACTTGTACTGTACAGTACTGTACCGGTACTTGTAACGAAGCACAGCACCCACCACCCACTTGGCAAACCGTCATTACCGCAACTGTACCTGTACCTGTACATTCCAGTCCAGCACCGTAGTCTACCGTACAGTACACTAACCCATCACCACTTCCACACCCTAATTTAACCACCATCAAAAGGTTACAAGTACAGTATGTACCAACACTACCAACCACACAGTACCCAAAATCCACAATGAATCAGACAACAATTTACCACTACAGTACTTACAAGTCTTATAATAACACAAAAACAACAATACTGTACGACACCCGAACACAGCACAGCACAGCACAGTACAGTACAGTACTCCACCACCCAACAAAAAAACAAAAAACAAACTCCAACCAATCCAAATCCAAATCCAAATCCAACCAAACCCCGTCGTCTCCTTACGAGTACCTATAGTGACTGACTGACCCCCCCCCCCCCCCCGCCACTCCACTCCACTCCACTCCACTCCACTCCACTCCATCATCATCCCATCTACGATATCTTGCTACGAGTACGGTACTTGTGCAATACGAACCCCACTACCAGACTTGTTCTAAAGTGTAGCCTTCCCACACACCCCACACACCCCACCCCACCCCACGCATGCACACATGCAACATATGCATATACATACATACAATACATACAGAGGCGCGCGCATCAACTCGATTACCTCGACTGCAACTCGTGGGTTGCTGTATTGGCGATGGGATGTGGGTTGGTGGTGGACAAAGCGCTACGGTATTACCTCATAGCGAGCGAGGCTGCTCTAGAGGAGGAAGGAAGGGTGGTTCGCGCCTGCCAAGTTTGTATGGAATATTATAGCGACCCCACGCTGGGCCGGGCTGGTGATAAGGCTGTTGGTCTGGATGTATACCGGCACTGTGCCGTACTATTAGACTATCGTTCGTTGGCTTTCACTTGCTTGTTACTATACAGTAAGGCGCAGTTCGAGCACCGCCATCAAGTCATGTTACAGTGTTTCTTGCCAACATAACGTCGTGATATTCTTATTCGCAGAGTCAAAAAAGACGCCGCGGTGTACGGGTTTGAAAAGAGTAAGCAAAAAAAGAAAAAGAAAAAAAAGAGAAATAAAGGTCCGCGTAGACCATCTAGGTGTACTGTTGATAAAATGAATACTTTCCTTCATCCCCTTGACCTTCCTTTTCGCCTTCTTTTTCGGCCTCGCCAACCAATCTCGCGCTTCGATCGCCCACGTAAAATACGGAAACCCCCCACACAACCGCAAGCGCAAACCATGGAAAATAAAAAAGGGAAAGAAAGTAAAAAAAAAAAAAAAAAAAACAACAAGTTCGCCGCTAACCATCTAATCAGGGACAAGCAAACAGACAAGTAATCAAACAAGCAAACAAAGTAAGCAAACAAACACGGAGATAAAAACATGATAATCCACATCAAGGCTCAAAAAATGAATAAGATGAGATCCCTAATCCAAGCAAGTGCAAAGAAGAAGTAAAGGATAAAAAATTTCCTCCAGACGCCCTTCCCACCCCCACCCCCCCCGATCGATCGATCCCGATAATTCTACTCCGCCGGTCCGCCCGCCCGTCCCGCCGTTATTTCCCGCTCAAGCAAGCAAGCAAGCAACAAGCCACCCGTTACAGCCACTCGGCGAAAGTGTTGGTGGAACGGGGCCCTTCCCCCACACAAACACCAATTGCGTACAGTAGTACCCCATTCCCCTGGGCCAACGCAATCTCCGTCCAAGTGAAACGCTGTTTCACCAGGGCTCTTGCCGGGTGGCTGTATAAACCTGGTAATGAAATGAAATGAAAAAGACGCCTTTATTCAAGATTCCCATGCAACCAGCGAATCCGTGTCCATGTCCGAGTCCGAGGTTGAAGTGCCGTATCGTATTAAGAGAGAACGAGGGAGAATGAGTGAAATGAATGAAAGAAATAGAAAAAATGAACCCTCCCGCAAACTCCTCAATAACCTTCTACTACGACAATCCCAAATTCTACCCTTCTCTACCCATGCAAGCAAGCATAAATTCCAGCATCCCCCGCCCCCTAAGCCATGATGCTGCTCTCCACACGCAGCGTCTCCGTCTCCACCGCTGCGGGCTGTGGCGGGGGCTGCGAAAGGGGAAGAGGAGGTGGATTAACATTATCATCTAAAAGGTTCGCGCCGGACACCGCCTCCCTAGCGTAAAACTGCACGAGCATGGTTCCGTACGCTTCTAATTCTTCCACGGGCACAGAGAGGCGAAAGTCATTCAGGATAAGGAACTGGAGTTCTAGGTGGTTTAGTTCAGCCAGTGGGAGACCGCCGACCTGGGCAGATTAGCTTCTAGTGAACCGGGGCGAAAAGAAAGAAAGAAAAATCGAGGGGGGAGATGGTACTTTAGCATATCTAGAGTTTGTGTAGAAAACGTCCGAAAAGAACTTGGAAGCACATGTTACGCCAGCAATGACCAACCGATGGATATTAAAGCTATCGACAACGAAAAAGTGCGAGAAACTATACGCGTCCGTGATGGGAGGAGTGGAAGTGGAAGGAGAAGCAGAAGAAGGGGGTACGGGACTGCCGCCCAAATCCCCGGCCGCATCAACGGTTCCTGCTCGCCAATTGTGGTGAGGGTTCTTGTTGACCCGCTCGGTCATCCGGTCGAAATACACCAGCAGGGACAAGAACACCTCGTAGGTTGTCGGGCAGTACTTGTGTATCCGAGATAGGTAGCTGAGTATCGTAATGCTGGGCACGTTCTTTCCGTGGAAGGCGAGAACACTGTTAGTGGTGACGCTCAGTCCGGAAGTCGCTTCGGGAGGCGGTATGCTCCTATGCAGCTGATCGTGTTGCTGATCGTTCGTGGTGGTGATTTTGGTCAAGAGTCCGGCCACCATCTCGATGACATCCGGCACGGGCATCCCGCTAATTTCGTACCTCCGCCGATCCTCGTCCGCGCCGCGGCTCCTCTTGGGCGGCGAACGGGGCTGGGGGTCTTCCTTGGCCAGGCCCACGACGTGCGAGAGGTTCTGCAGCTTCACGGGCGACGTGGTGTCCTCTTCCCCTTCATCCGAGGCTCGCTTTGTGGGGCCAGCGGTTACTACTACTGATGACGAGGGCGGGAGGTGGGGTTGCTCCGGGCCAGCATTCCCACTACTCGGATGCGGATGCGACTGCTCAAACGATACTGGCGTGGTCTGGGTATGCGAGGTAGCGCTGCTAGTCACAGAGGGAGGCGCAGCAACTGCTGTCGGCTGGGACGTCGACAATGAGGAAAGAGCAGGAGCATTCCGCAACGCCGAGCCCGTGGTCCCGCGAGATGTCGGCTGTACTGGAGTGCAAGTGCCCGAGGGCGGTCGGGCTGGAGTCCATTGATCCGAGGAGGACGACACAGAACTACCCGTGGGGGTGTGTTGTAGCGACGAACGGTGATACGCACCACTCTCTGGCTGCGTATCTGCCGCGATCATGATGTTTTCGGGGCGGAATCCGATCTGCATTTAAATCCCCCGCGCAAATTAAACCAGCGGTAAATGGTTAGCTTCAGATTGTGGGAATCGACAATGGTATCGGGGACAGAAGGGGTACAGCGAAACCTTCGCCGGGCATATCGCAGGGTGAAGAAACACTGGAAATGGGATTGGGGGGGGGAGGGAAAGGGCAAAGGTGAGGAGGGGAAGCAGCAAATGAGGCAACAACCGCGAGCGAGAGAAACACAGGAAGGGCAGTAAGGGAGCTCAAGAAGGGGGCAAATGTCAAGGGCGGTGACAGGGAAGAAAGGATGGGCTACGGAAGAAGGGGGAAAGAGCGAGCCCTGCAATTACGGTAGGGGATAAACCCCTCAGCGGCCCAACCCGATCGACCATCAAACGAAGAGGTGGAGTTTGATGGAGGGGAGAAAGAAAAAAAGGAAAGAAAGGCAAGTGAAGAAAGAGGAGAAGGGGGAGAAGCGGTTTCGACAAGGTTTGCGAGAACCGCAACTCGGAGAATAACCGTAGGGAAAAAGGATCGCGGGAATTCCAACGTCATAGGGCCGAGAGTGGAGGAGGGAGAGCGAGAGAGGCAGAGTGGGTAAGGTAGGACGGGTGGGCGGGTCAAAGCGAGCGGTGGGCGCGAAAGGGAAGGCAAATGGACAACGTACCTGCAGCATCACTGAAGAATACCCGAGTAGAGAAGGGACGGAAATGGATGATAAACTTCTTTTAAACGGTCCGGCGTATTCCCTCCCTTTCACCCAGTCGTCTCCCGGAATTAGTGTAGTTATTAAGGCAAGGGCAGGGAGGGATATTGGAGTGTGAGAAGGAGAAATGTGGGTTGAAGTTGTGGTTGCGGTTGTGGTCTCAGATACGGTAAGCTTGTTGCTTGGGTGTGCGAGAGTAAGTAAGCACTTGATGACAATTGTGATGATGATGAGGATGGCTGTGGTGGAGGTGGAGGTGGAGGCCAGGGAAAATGGGAAATTGGGGAGAAAGGAAAAAGGAAAAAAGGAAGGGAGAGAGAAGAGGGAGAGAGAGAGAAAGAGAGAAAGAGAGAGAGAGAGAGAGAGAGAGAGA